CATTACTGTATCAGAAATTTGATGGTAAATTTGTTTCTCATAGTAAAAAAAAAAAAAAATTGTTTACGACTAGATCTAATCCTTTTAAGATAAAGCTGTTATTAAACCTGAGATGAATTAATTCCTTATACTGATCTAGAAAAAAATTTGACAGCTTTATTTTTATAATCATTTTCAATACATGGATACAGAGCTACAACATCTAAAGAAACAAAATTCTGAATTACTCATATTTTTTGGCAATTTTTCAACAAATTCAAAATTCCAATAATACTTGGAATATGTTGTCAGAACATTTCAATAGAATTTTCAAAAGGTCACTTAAGAGTTCCATATTTTTTTATTCCCTCCTACAGTCAACCTTCCTAAATACTAGGAAGTTTTCTAATACGAATACATTTATTTTTTCTTTATAATAATATTCCATTAAGCTCTTTTGATTTACGGATCTGTGGAAGTACTCACATCTCCGACAACTTCCGGCCAATGGAAGTTACTGGTGATTCTGTCTACAGTTTTCTTTGTTCCTAGGGGTTCTCCCACAATTGATTCATGACCAAACTTCATCACTCAAGTCCGATATTCTGTTGATACTATGATCTGTTTAACTTCCCCAGTATAATTGACTTGATAGATTTGGTATAGAACTCCCTTCTGGTCCTCTATTTTATAAGTATCTTTCCCCTTTGTTTTGTGCTTGTCTTTCAACCAGGCATTGTCCCAAAGTTTCTGCAGTGAAAGATCTTTCTTCTGTGCTTCCTTCAGTTCCTGCAAACCTAAATTCGGGATATCACGTTTTGACACCTGCAGGGGCTTGATGTCTTGTTTGTTCTTCTTTTCTTGAAATCTGGTAGTGACTGGAGATACTTCATCAATCTTCTTTCTGTCTAGTTCCTCAAAGTTTCTACTACCTGGTATGTTTCCTATCACCAAGTCGTGTACTGGTTCCTTGATACACATGGCCTCAAGGTCTCCTACATAATATAGAGTATCCATCTTTATTTTTACTACGGGAAAATTTCTCACTATCTAGCAATTAGCACACACAGGCGTACCTTGCCTTTCATCTGACCATTGGATACTAGACTGTTTCTCACTGCTGCACCCAGTGTCTCATAGAACCTTCACTTTCTTGTCCCCAACATAGCCTTCATATATTGGCATATTATGATTTGTTGGTATCTCTTGATATTTGTCACAAACTACCATCACTATGGGCACTGTTGATGCATTTGCTAATTTGAGCCGACCATTAGTCGTGCACTGATTGGTCATGCTTTCTTGTATTGAATTTGACAAGTAGTCTTCATTCTCTTTCTTCTGGCAGCAGCATCCATAGTGCCAGTTTACTCTTTTCTTGTTTCTTACCAGCACTGTGTTTGTCAACGGCTCCAGCGGCTTTATGTTGAGGTTTCTGCTGTTGTTTGCTGGTAATGGACTTGCACTCTTTTGCAATGTGCCCCATTTTATAACAAACATAACATCTCTTTTCCCTTCTGTCT